GATTCTAAGTATCATGCTGTTAACATACCTGGATTTTACACAAAAATGCAGGTTTTGCTGGCAAAATTCAAACATCCACACTTGAAAATTTGGTCTTTAGAAAAGTAAAAAACATTTAAAATTAGTTGAAATTAAAATCACATTTGTAACACCTAATGTAGCAACAGTGCATTCAAAACTGCACCAATGTATAGAATGCCTGATGTGTACAGGCAGGATATCATATCTCATCTAGTCCTCCAGTATGTCCTTTGTTATTTTGTGATGACTGATATTTAGGAATCCAATAAATCCATTTGCTATGGAAAAATGCAGAATTTGCATTTTTACAGAGAATCTTTAGTTTTTACATTTTGTGAAAAAATAAAAAAATATACAGTAGAACCCCATTTATCTGAGTTTCCATTATCCGTCTCTTCGTATTAACCAAGCTGGGGCTGACAGCTGAAGCCCGAACTCCACCACACACAGCTGACAGTAAGAGTCCTGCTGCATGGATCTGAAGCTCTCCGGATTATCCGAATTTTTGATTAACCAATGTGGCCCCGGTTCCATTTAGATTGGATAAACGGGGTTCCAGTGTATCAATAAAACATTGTGTTCAGCGGATACCTCTGGCTAAAGAAACTAAAGTTCAGCGTTTCATTTTAATCGTGGAAAAAAATATTTTTATGGGTTTTTTAATCACAGAATTTGGGGGATTTTAAACACGGAAAACTAGGATCCCTGGTGATGTTATATATCCATGGAAACTCTGATCATTCATGGGCTTAGCAATCATCACTGTTTATTTTTTGATGTCTTATCTCAATGAAGGACCCCACAAGCTTGATACACAGTGGTCATGATTATGAATTTGGATGATATCTCCACTTACACAACTACAATTGGCTGCTACAGAGAACAGAGTGAAAAGTAAAGTAATAAAAGTCATTTGAAGTAAGGGTAACAAAGCACTAATAGACCTTGTTATAAGGAACTGGGGATGAAAGCCAATTGATACAAAAATTTCATCTGCCTTTTCTGTCCATTCAAAAAGATATAGTCGTAGCCATGTCTGTTCCGGGATATTAGAGAGACAAGATGAGTGCGGGAATATTTTTTATTGGACCAACTTCTGTTAGAGAGATGAACAAGCATTTGAGCCACACAGAGCTCTTCTTCAGGTCTTGGAAAGGTACTCTGAGCGTCACAGCTAAATGCAAGATAGAACAGATTTGTTTAGTAGAAGTAGTTAGCACATATTTTAAGGGTGTTTTTGTCTTTTATCATTTTCCCGTGAGAGCATAGTGCACTAAATGCCCCAATAGCAATTCTGGGGGTGAAACCAGACAATCACTACACTCTCCAATGAACTCACACATGAAAATGATAAGAGACAAAAACACCCTATATAGGGTAACCATACATCCCATTTTGGCCGAGATAGTCCTTTTTTTAAGCCCTGTCCTGGCCGTCCCAACTTTTTTGGTAAAAATGGGCATTTGTCCTATTTACACTTGCCAACTGATCAAGTCAAAAAAGTGGGGTGCAAAGGAACATGGAGGGGTAGCAGCAATGGCACCCCCACACAGAGGGGGCAGGGCTTGGGCAGGTGGCAGGCAGGGTTTGGGAGAGCAGCGATGCCAGCCCCAGCCTTGCAAGGGGAGAATGGGGCAGGGCAGCCCCAGCCTCGTGCAGGGAGGAGCGGGGGTGGGTGAGCAGCTTGGGCCAGCCCTGCGTGGGGAGTAAAGACTCAGGCTAGCCCCATGTGGTGTCCCGTTTCCCTTTGGGAAATATGGTCACCCTAACCCTATATCACCTGTGGTTAGGTGGTTAGAGGTGAACAGAGCGATCACTCTATATCTGACCATCAGTCCTCATCCTCAAAGGAAATGTGTACACTTTCAAAAGACAAGCATGGGAACTTACATTCATAATGGAGTAATTCTGCTAGATACCAAAAATCATGGACTGAACAGACACACTGGATTTATGGTTCATTACAACAATCTGTAATCCACTAACCCCCGTTTTTGTCCTAAAACTGCAGAGATGTTAATGGGCCACTCTACCTTGAATGGTCCCTTAGAATATGTGCTACCGACTTATGCTGAACAATCTGTTCCATCCTGCATTTAGCTGTGAGGTTCTGAGTACCTTTCCCAGACCTGAAGGAGAGCTCTGTGAGACTCAAAAGCTTGTCTCTCTCAGCAACAGAAGTTGGTCCAATAGAAGATATTACCTCACCCACCTTGTCATTCCAAAAGATGACTTTTACCAACATGTTCACTTCTAAATCATTTAGTAGTACAGAGAAAGGAGAATTTCTTAGCATATTTTTTTCTAACTGTGTTCTTCTATGCCTTGCATCATCTTATGATACTTCCAGTGCACAACTACATTAATGTTCTACACTACTTGATGATAACTTCCACCATTTGAAAACAGCATTTATTTGGAAAGGTTATTTTCAAATACTGTAATGCATGTGTGTATATAGTTCAAAGTGAAGGAGGGAAATGTAGACTTAAGATATCACCTTTTCCCCCTTCTTAAAATATTATCTAACTGAGAATTATTTCCCCACTTCAGTTAAACACTTTCACAAGTAGCTTAACTGACATCAAGAAATGTTCCTGTTCCTTCACAGGTGATATCAATATGTGGAATAATATGACAAATGGGAGTTTAAAACAAAGTAACATTAAGATACTTAAAAGGGACACCATCACCTTTAAATATATGCCAAGACTTTAACCACACATTTTGGAAAGTTAGGCTCTTAAGTCAATATTTAGTCACCTAAATACTGGCCTGATTTTCAAAAGTATTGACTTGAATGGGAACTGCTTGGTGCTCAGCATTTTTTTGCAGTTTTCTTCTGATGAGAGTAATTCGTCATTGCAGCAATTTACCAAGGAATATGGTGGATTCTCCACCACTCGTGGTCTTTCAGTCAATACATCTAAAAAGATATGCTGTAACTCAAACATAAATTATGGTCTTGAAACAGAAATTAATGGATGAGATTATCTGCCCTGTGTTATGCAGGAGGTTTGACTAGATGATCATAATGCTCCCTTCGGGTCTTTAAATCTATGACTCTGTATGTTCCAAATAGGTCGCAGCTCCCAACACGGTATCCTATCATCATCTACTGACTGCAGAAGCTGAGCCATTCTGAATGGAATGCATTTATTTAGACGCACTTGGCAGTCATCAGTGGTGTTAGCTTTAACCCCGGTGATGCATAGGGATCAAAACCATGCTTCTCCTGTGAGCACTGATCTTATTATCTGCCTGCTTGTGTTGCAAGAGGAGCATGAATACAGTAAAGTACTGAAGACATACTGAGATAGAATCCTGCTTTGATTTTCTCTTCCTGTTGTAAAGTTTGGACAGGTAATGAATTTCTAAATGCTTCATTCTTGCCATGCTTTAATACCAATAAGGCACTTGGATATAAAATAATTACTAATCTATGTAGCATTCCTTGCTCCCTTCCTCTGAAGAGATGCCATACATCTAGAGATTTCCATAACAGCACTATACATTCTTTAGGATCACAAGAAACTTATATTTTACTTTAATTTTCATATCCAGCTGGCCACAGAACGGATACATGTTAGAGGCTCTCCAAAACAGATAAGAGGTACCCCACGCCTTCAGCCTTTATGAACTACAGGCCCTATTCTTGGTCCATGTCATTCTGCTATTCAAAAATTCATACAGACCCATAAAACCACATTCTACTTTCAGTTGTACTCAGTGAGTTCCACTAGTTTAATGAGGTTTCATAGACATAACTAAGAAAAGAATTTGAGTCAAGTTATATAACAGAGATACAGTTCTCTCCTCTAACTGAAATTGAAAATCAATGTCCGATTTTCTGTCTATGATGATGTCATTCCAGCAAAACAACATTACTTATGTGTATCCTCTTGTAAATACTTTACAAGCTTTGCACAACTCCAGGTAGGAAGTCCAATTTCTAAGTAGAATATAAATCAATGAAAAATATTTTTCATTTGGATTTCAACAGAACCTGTATTATTGGCTCTGGTGTGCTATGGTACAACAGAGTCTATGTTATACTTTCAGAAGTGCTATTTATATATTGTAACTAAGTGTTGCTCTGTGTTCTTCTCAGAAAAACAAAAGTAGTCTTTCATAATGAACATCAGAAATAGTTACAGCATTGCGGTTGCAACTCTAGAGTTAAGGGCTGGGAATGAATGTATCTCAACTTTACTTTTAGTAGCTTGTAACAGTTTCAAAAAATTATCTTTCTGGATGAAATGTATCAGGTTTGGTCTTGACATGAACATGAATTATTTGAGAAAGACACAAAAATCTGTTTTACCCTTTGTGTTATTTAAACAAATATATGTCCATTACTAAAGATTATTAGAACTTTTCCATTGCCCGGCGTCTTTTTTTTTTTTTTTTTTTAAACTTGGCATATCCTGTTCCTACTGAAGTTAATAGTAAAAAGATTAGGAGAAGTGGGATCAAGCCCTGTGATTTGCTAATCAGGGAGTCTCTGAAGGATTGGTTAAAACCAGGCGAAAATTAGGATCCAGCTGGTGTATTTATGAATGGGAAATAATTTCTTAAGAACAGTTTTGATGATTAGGAGCAAGAAAAGTATCAAACTATGTTCTGATGATCAAAAAGGGGGTTACGGCAAAAGAAAAATACCAACAGAACTATGGAGAATAATCCACCTCTAAATTATAGATGGTATGCAAGAAAATAAAAATGCTTCAAAAAAAAATCTCTCATTTTATGCTGAAAGCTTAATTCCACGCTTTTAAATTATGGAAGCAGATTATTTTATTAACTGATTTCCACCTAGCAAAGAAAAATAGTCACTGTTACAATACAGAATTTAGGAAGACCAAACACATGAAACCCATGTTCCATTGTAACTAAAGATGTGTCTTATGGTATTTCTCGATATTAAACAAACAGCCAAAGTACTTCAATTAACTGGTATTTATGCATTAATAACTTACTTTTATTGCCTACCAAGGCCACAAGTGGCTGAATTTCTGATTCTTCATTTGCTTTCTTTACCATATTATACCAGTCTTCTAAATTTTCAAAGCTCTGGTAATTGGTGATGTCATATACCAAAAGGACACCCTGAGGAGAAAAGATATATTTGAAACATTATACATTGACAAAAGTTATTCATTGCAATAAGTTACTATTAAATTCATATTAAGTTTATTTTTTAAGATTCTTCAAAAGCTGAGATGCCACTAATTATAAATGTTTTTATTATTAATTATTATTATTGTAATCCAAACTGACAGTTAGAATTCAAGCAACTCCACTAAATAAATACTTTATGAGATAACAGACACAAAGCAATACACAGACTTTATTACTCAGATATTAATTGTACCACAGCTAGTAAACAAAATAGAAATTTAGCAAAGAAAAACAGCAAACAATATATTACTCATAGTAGAATGTCACTGTCTGACACTTACATTTCTTTTAAAAACCTCAAAAGCTTTTCAAAATGAAAGTTAATATTGTAAAAACTAAGTTATAAAAGGGCTGCTACTTATCTAGTTTTCACCACAGGTTTTCCAGATTTGATTTTTTTTTTTTAATTGTGAATCACATATTTCTTATTGCCTGTCTGCTGCTTCTATTCTCCCAGCTGGGGCCAAAAGCCAGCTCTATTCCTTTACTGTTGTAGAAAACAAGTATTAGCAGGCGTTTAACAAAACTCTAAGGGCCTGATCAAAGTTCGGCATAGGTCAATGGAGAGACTCGCATTGACTTCAATGGACTTTAGGTCATGTCCTAAGTGAGGCTAGGTCTACACGGTACGGGGGGGAGGGGGGGGGAGAGCGGGTCGACCTAAGATACGCAACTTCAGCTACGTGAATAGCATAGCTAAAGTTGTGTATTTTAGGTCGACTTACCTGGCTGTGAGGACGGCGGTGAGTCGACTGCTGCCGCACCACCGTCGACTCCACTTCTGCCTCTTGCTGCGGTGGATTTCTAGAGTCGACGGCAGAGCGATCAGGGATCAATTTTATCGCGTCTTCGCTAGACGCAATAAGTCGATCCCCGATAGATCGATTGCTACCCGCCGATCCGGCGGGTAGTGAAGACAGGTGAGAAATATTCAAGAGACAGATATTAATCAGGTGTCCCATAAAGTCCATTATTTTAGCGAAAGTTCTTTGGCATCCTGACTTCCCTGCAGTCTTTAGCCTACCCCGTCTCTTCTTTTTTCCTCCATGGATTCCATGGTCAGCTCTCACCATCATTCTCTTCTCAATTATTGACTCCTTTGTCCTTCTCTCCCACTGTTCCATCCAATTCAATATCCCACAGCTCAGACTCACATCCAGAATCTGTTTCTGCTGCTCCTGTTCCCATCCTTCTATATACCTCTAAAGAAAAATCACAAAGACGATGTAGCGTTCCTCCACTGCAAACCCATGCTTTTCTCCTTACGTACCACCAACTTCCTTGCAAAACGGTTTTACTATTCCTTCAGAAGGCCTACTTATAACCTACAACAACTTTGATTCTTCCCTCTCTGCACAGTATCATCAGCTTCTTCAAGGAGGGTGACAAGAACTAGCATGACTTCCCTTTCACCCTCTTCCCCACACAACACCCTTTCCTCTTTTATCTCATTCATTAAATCTAATGTCTTGCACCAACTGTTCCCTTCCAATTCTTCCATCACCTGCCCCTTGACTCCATCCCTCCCATTTACTGATCTCCTTACTCCTACTCTACCCATTGCAATCTGAAAATATGCAGGAGGGAAGTAGCAGGTATGTAGTAAAGTTACTTTCCTAACTTTGAACATCAGTCATATAGTAGGACTGGGGGAGGGACGGAATGCCAGGGGGTACAAAGAGACTGGGATTGGGACAAGCCTTGACCTCAAAAAAGCATACTCATGAACAGATCAATCAAGGTAACAGTTGACTGTGGGCATTGAAGGTGTTCACATGGAAACTCAAAATAAAGATCATTGTGAACTGGAGATGTGCCATCAACTACCAAGGAGAATGTAATAGATGCAGACTGCCTACTAACAAAGTGGCTACTCTACACAAATGGATTTTTGAGCAATTTGTGTTTGTTATAAAAAACAGAGTGGCAGAAAATAAAGGAGAAAGATAAGGTCTTGAAATCAAAAGATAGACCCCCTTGGCAAAGACCCACCTTTATTCCATCTTGACTTGGGCAATAAGGCAGCACTTCAGTAAGGGCAGAAAGCTTAACACTATTATCATAGCTACCCAACAGTTGGGATGCCAATAAAGTTATTGGTTATTTTTAAAACAACAAAAACTGCACTGTATCCCAATTTTTGTTTTACTAGAATAAGCTTTGTTGTGAGCAAGACACAGTGTTGTGCTATGTCTAATGGGAATGGAAAAAGGGGAGCACACGTGTAGGGATTGTTTAAGTAAGGAGAATAGGAGTGAGGTTGGTGGAAAACAGAAAATGAGGAGGAGCATGTGGCATGCTCCTTCCACCTCCAGTACTGCCCCCTTCCCCATTTAGTAGAAAAGCATGACCGTCCCTATCTCAGATAGCTCCAGAGTTCAGAAGACACTTGGGCAACAGCAGCATGTAAAATAAAATTAATGCAGAGTAACATATTTTTAAAATGTTTATACCTATCATGATGGGCTGGCTGTTTCCAGTATCTCTTCAGACCATCATTGAGCTGCTGCAGGGCTTAAAGCCAAGCATTAGCCCCTGCTCCCCCTTAGGAGTAAAGGAATCCCACCACAGAGGTTTCATGGAAGATACTCTTGAAGTGAGTTTTAGCAACTGTAGCTCCCCAGTGTCCTTACTATCACCTTCCAGGCCATCTCCAACACTGCCTTAAAAATGATGTACTTTCCTCAATCATTCCCTCTCTTTGAATCCTTTCAATGATTGTCCCACACAACAAGTTTAAACTCTTAGTACTTGCTCCTAAGGTCCTGCACAATTCTGCCATGGCCTGCCTGCCCGTGAAAGCGCGCGCACACACCTCTAACAATACCGACCTCTCCCTGCTGTTTCTCTTTCTCCCACTCCAATCTCTAGACTTTTTTCCAGGTTACCCCGTATGCATGAACTAGGAGATCACTCTCAGTATACCCGGTCCCCCACCCTCTTCTTAATTAAACAACAGAAGCAGATGCTGATGTCTGAACTCATGGAAATTATATAGGATTGACAGATCATCTCTTGGGGCTTACTTTGATTGCAACTCGGGATAACCACAAATTGATATCCGGAATTTGAAGACAGCATTGGGCCTGCTTCCACAATGGGTTACCCAAGTTTTATATCAGTGAAACTCTATTATTTGAGAGGTGGGCTGGCAGGGATGCAATAAAAAGACAAGGACAGACTGCTTTTATGGCCTTTACACTAAACACTAATCTGTGATCTTATTTTTGGCCCCAACAAAAAGATAATGTAAAATACTCTACCAATGACTTATTCTCAACTTTACAATTATGAAGGTTCTGGTCACAACTTCATATTTAAGATTTAGTTCTATTTTCTACTGAAAGCAGAGATTCAACCTTCATTTTCTCTGAAAAAATACAGTATATCCTCCCCAAACTTACACTACTTTAAGTACAGAGAGAACAGATATAAAATTCAATCATTGTTATTTCCCCAACATGCACATGAAATACACTTAGAAAGGAGGCATTTTTAATGGATAAAAAATTAGAAATAAAAACAATTAAAATTAGCCTGGTAACACAGATGTAGCACATTGCCTCACCATGAAAAAGAAAAATGTTTGAGAACCGACGGAGGATACCACGACGTGAAAACTATGTTAATTCTCTACTCTCCAGCACATATTCCCTGCTTGCATAACAACATTCTGGCAATGGAGACATTAGGTCTACCTTACTGTACATGTGAGTGCTCTTTGTTTCTGAATTGTAGAATATTTGCAAAAAGAGTCCACTGGAAGCTGAGTGTACTGCAGAAATGATTTGCTGGTCTCTAGAGAAGGTATGGTCCGCACTACTCTTATTCTATTAACAAGCTAATTTATGAAGTAGCATATGCCAACTCTGAAGGATACTTTACACTAGAGATATGGATAGGGTCTGCAGTTATACAGCAGTTGGTCTAAAACATATTTACAGCATAAATGGTAGAACTGCAATTCTAAATATTTCGTAACAGTATTAAATAGAATGATACATAATTTGACACTAGAAAAACCAACATTTAAGAAGTTTCAATATTTACAACAACAAGGAGTCCGGTGGCACCTTCAAGACTAACAGATTTATTTGGGCATAAGCTTTCGTGGGTAAAAAAAAAAACACTTCTTCAGACGCATGGAATGAAAATTACAGATGCAGGCATTATATAATGACACATGAAGAGAAGGGCATCTGAAGAAGTGGTTTTTTACCCATGAAAGCTTATGCCCAAATAAATCTGTTAGTCTTTAATGTGCCACCAGACTCCTAGTTGTTTTTGTGGATACAGACTAACACGGCTACCCCCTAATATTTACAACAGAGTACATTAAAAAGATTAAAGAAAATGCTAATCCAGTACTTCTATAGTTTAAATATTTTTATTCTCAATGTTTATCAAATTATAGCCCTATCCAAATGATATGATTATGAAAGAGCAGATTAAATTTTAATTTGAAATTATTAAACGTCATTTAATGCTCATGAAAAGCCTCAGATTAAAAGTAATAGACAATGAAATCCTCTAGCCACAGAACAGACATAGCTCAATAAGTGGCAACTTCCCCCTACAAACATGCAGAGAGCATCCATGCTTACAGGTAAGAAGGTAGTTCACCATCTATGCCTATTAATCATCAGCTTCTCTGGAGAGACTGACAAAAGGGTTGCCAAGATTGACAATTCTGTGATGTGGCCACATTCTCACTAGGGACTAGATGCAAACTACATAGCTCACAAAAGTACAAAAAGCAGCCAATCAATCTAAGCTAATAACCTTTATCTACTTACATCTTCTTTGGAAATCTCTTAATAAGTTTTCCCATTGTTAACATAGGTACATAAAAGTTCCTTATAGTGATAATTATCACAATAATGCATTAAACAAAAATCTAAGTTAGCTTTTAAAGGGTGCCTCAACCT